GTGGACTTCTGCTAACTGCCAACACCTCTGCAGTGGACTACCCTGTAGTATACCGGTCTTTCTGATTATTTTTGGACTACCTGTGTGAGCGGGATGCCTAGGTCAATCAAAGGGCATATTCAGAGCCGCTCTCCATGCCTGGGCTTGTTCTCTCCTGCCACGACTTGATGGGAGTAAAAAAGAAAATGGTAAAGAGCTCACGGGTAGAAAGCTTCCTGTTTAATAAAGGCTATAACATGCCACTCCCTGTCCTGCTATAATCTCTGGCCACTGACGGGTTCAGGCTCCCACTGATACAATACATATGTAAGCCTGGTCACCCGCCTCTGTATTTAGGGAACACAAATGGCAGCTCTTCCTATGCTCCTGCCCCCCATGAATGAATGGCCGTTTACCACGCCAATGCTGCATGTGGTGGCTTGCAAATCTCTCTTTCCTCACCCCTATCTAGGATAATCAGGGCTCTTAAATAAGATATGGTCACTGGGAACTTTGCATACATATCTGGTCCCCCTCTCACTCATTTAAAGTCTCTCATGATACTGGGGATAGCCATGCTGGCTTCCCTCAATCACAATCTCTCACTAACACGGCGTACCTGTCCCAGAGATTGCCATGCCGGCTTCACTTGAAACTCTGCAAAGGTCCTGTTGTCTACTGTCTGGGAGAGAAAACTTCTTCACTTTCACCCTCATACCTATGCCTCTGCACAGGAAAACTGCTCCATTGCTCTGGCTTGCTCTCAGCCATGGCACTGGTTCCCCTTCTCGGGGAAGTCTCTAATCAGCCTCTGGTCTTATTATACAAAGTCTCTAAGTAGGAATTAACAACTCCTGGCCAGACCTGCCACTGGTCTGTGAATCCTTAATTGACAATTAACAAGTTTCTGGCTCAAGTCTCTTGCTGGTCTAGGCATCCTTCATTGGCAATTAACGCTTTGCTCAGGTGGATCTGTAACAGGGTCACTGGCTCCCTGTTACAGCCTGGAGCAGATGATCCTTAAAACAAAGTTCCATACCCCTTTCCTCAGAGTCTGTGATAGCTATAGCCTGTAGAAAGCTGTAGCTTTCTAGAGTAGGTGGGAAGGTTTTTACAATGTTCCTCCATTAACTTCCCAAGCCTCCAATAAAATACTAAGATAATTTCTGTGATGACTCTTTTATTGCTATAATGGAAAAATAAAACAAAATGAAGGACTTGAAAAATAAAATGCAAAACTAGCCTTTAACAGATTTTTTTACAAAGACTTGGGACCAGTAGCTAGTATGTTTAATGCATTTTACTTGTCTTGCTTCAATACATGCAAACTCACGGGTGTTTCAGATCAATGCTCTCTGCTATGCTTTTTCATTTGAAATTAAAGCAAGACCCACTAACAAAGACAAAATCATTGTGTAAAACAAAATATGTCTTTTAAAAGCTTTGTTTTTTTAAACTACATTCTCTTCTTGTAACAGAAACAGACAAGGTTAATGGAAACTTGAGTGCAGTAGGCACATTTGGAAATGAGAGGGAAAAGATTATTTTTGCACAGAAATTCCAGTGTAGGTTTTGGGTATATTTGGGCCCTTGTACATGTTAAGGTGGGGTTTTTCGACATTGTCTCAATCTGTCCTCCTTAAAATGACACGGTGGGTGTCAATTTTTACCGTCACTCTGTTACGGGTGACGGGTCAAAAATCTCCATATTGCCCCATGCACTAGTCAAAGTTAAATACAGTAGGGAGCGCCACATAACAATTCAATCCTGCTGACCTCTTAGTACTAAATTACAGCAGGAGGCACTAACCTACATCTCACACAATGTGATATGTGGAGATCAGTGACAGTTGTTTAGTTTTATAAATTCACATATTTTACTTAATGTAATTTCAGTACTTTTGTTACTGTCATAATGAAAGTAGTGATTTTCAGGAATGTGACTGTGTTCCTGGGTGCCTAGCGTAGTTCATGCATTGCAGTCTTCAACACACCAAAACACCCGAGCTGTCAGTAGAGTGAATTTGGACACAACTAACACAAAAAGCTTTCTTTAAAATAATTATTGCATTTAATTAATGAACTTAAAAAAGGAGGTCAGCAGAAGATTGATTCATGTCGGGCTCTGCAGCTATACCTGGTGTGTTAAAACATTCATTGTACAAAAAACCTGTGAGTTACACTGCAAATTACCTGAAAGTACCAGCAAATTGTCGCCGCACCTGGTGGGCAAGGGAGCTCAGGAGACATAATTTGGTGATTTGCCATGTGTGTGATATCTACACATGACAGATTTTTTGTCCACAATGGGACAATTTGTCACAATAAAACTAAAATACATCAGAGGTGTTCTAAGTTGCCACACTCCGGGACAGCTTGACATGACAAAACCTCGTGCATGTGTACATGGTGATGCCATTATGCTAGCCAAATGGCGATTTTTTTGGTCGTGTTTCATCATGTGTACATGGGCAAATTGTCATTTGTACAAGTGCCTTTCCAGATTTCAGCCACTTGCCAAGAGCTTGAAGTTCATTGCAAAAATTCAGGGCATTTATTTTTCTTCACCAGGCTTTACATCCTCTCATGTTTTGCTTAAAACAACACTTTGCTCTTTTAATTTTTTGTGGGGCATCTTTAACAGTCGGAGCTACTATGCAAGGCCCTCCCCCCCCACCCCCCCCAAAAAACCGCAAACAAAACAACTCCCCGCCCTGCAAACTTATACTGCTCCTCCAATTGTAAAAATCTCCCTTCAATTATCATTACTGAAAACATAAGAATAAAAAATGACATTTTCTTCTTCTTAGGATGGTTGAATAATTTTTCTGTGGCTCTGTACGCAGACATACTCTTTTTGGGATGTATTTTAAGATGTTTTCCATGTGGGAAACTAGCTTCAATTTGCAGATGATCAACCAGTTTCATAGTATCAGTTGTGACTCCTTTATCAAAATGGTGGTATGCAAGGAAATCCTTATAGGCTGTTAGCTGATACATCATTCGTTTGATATCCACTTCAACTTCTTGAAGCATTTTACTTCTAATATTGACTTCATAAAGCATATCATGCCAAAGTATCACACTACACAAGAATTTATAGTTGCAGTTTGGGAGCCAGCAATTTGGCTTTGCTTGAAGTTTTGATTCCTGTGGGTTACAGGTTTGACTGATTGGCACCTGAAACTGAAGTATGGTAGATCATAAAATAGGGTATTAAAATATGCAGATTTAATTAATTTTCCCATCTCATTTTTTTGTGGTGGTACCCCCAAAAATCACATCTACCCCCACTTACACATGTAACTTCAGTTCATTGCATGGATCAATAAATGCTTTTTTGTTACAGTCCAGAAGTCTGTGTCTGCCTTTCACATTTATCCCATTTTTCTAGCCTTGGCCTCTCAAATCATTAAGTGAGATCCTTTTAATTGTTCAAGGAGAACTTCTCTAATTCTAGCAGGAGTTGAATCTGTCATGTTCAAAAACTTCAACAAAGGAGGAGAGACTCAGGGACTTAGATCTCTTCAGCCTTCACAAGAGAAGGCTGAGAGGTGATCTTGTAGTGGCCTATAAATTCATCAGGGGAGGGCAGAAGGGAATAGGAGATGCTTTACTGTCTGAGGCCCCAAGGTTTGGAATAGCCTGCCGCCGCGGGTGGTTCAAGCACCCACTTCGAATGCGTTCAAGACATATTTGGATGTTTATCTTGCTGGGATCCTATGATCCCTGCTGACTTCCTGCCCTTGAGGCAGGGGGCTGGACTTGATGATCCTTCGGGGTCCCTTCCAGCCCGAATGTCTAGGAAATCTAGGGCACCCCTTGGAGAAACTAGGAACAATGGCCACAAATTGACAGAGAGCAGATTAAGGTTGGACATTAGAAAGAACTTCTTCACAGTAAGAATCTGGAATGGGCTTCCACGGGAGGTGGTGTTCTCCCTTACCCTGGGGGTCTTCAAGAGGAGCCTGGACAAGCACCTGGTTGGGGTTGTCTGAATCCAGTGCTCTTTTCTGCCCAGGGCAGGGGATCAGACTTGATGGCCTACTGAGGTCCCTTCTGACCCTAACATATATGAAAATGTCCCTTGATCCTACCGCTGCCTTCTCTCTCCTTACTGGCTTCTTCTGCTGAAACAAATCTAACAACCATGTTAGATGCTCTTTACTGATGTCTTTGGTCCAGTCAAGTATAATAGAAGAATACAGCAGATTTCAAGACAGGAATAATTTCCTTCTGGATCATGCTCCTGAGAATTGGAATAATTTCATTTTCAATATTTTTGCCCAAGTAATAATGAAGAACTTCCTTCATCATAATTTTTCAGAAATGTTCTTTCATTTCAAGGGCATGTTTTCCAATAAATTCCACAGATTTCACATATTTCTCATTGTGGGATGAATAAAGTTTGTGCGATGAATCTCATAGGGAAATATTTTCTATCCCATGAAGCCGATCAAACATTGCCAGTTTTTATTAGATAATTTATTTGATGCTAGATTTTTTTTATCAATCACCTATTTGCTTCAGTCTAACTTATAAGTCTCTCAATGTATGATAGCTGTTTAAATGACTTTTGAATTTCTCATCTTTCAAAAAGATACTCAGTATGTTTTTCTGTTCTTGAACACTTGGCTAAAGCAAAATCTCTGAAATGAAACATTTGCAGCAGAGGCAACAAACAGAATCAGTGGAAGTGAAACAGAGAAATCAGTCTTGCTTTATGCATTCTCCATTTGAAATCTAGCACACAAAATGGGTAACTGATTGCTTCCCATTCCTATCCAAAGGAAAATCCTTACTGTTTGTTTGCTCTGATCTTGCATGAACATACAAAAGGCAAACTAACTCATTTCTGGCCCTTTAGAAGGATCTTTCAGAGCATTAATGCTCAGCATTTCCTCTTTTGTAGAGTACTCCAAATTCCTTTAGTAACTGTAACATTGGATTGTTAAAAGATAAAGTAATATTGACCAATGGAGCTGGTTACAGCGTTGTTTTCTTGCTCTCTCTTTCTTTAGAGCTATCAGGAACAAAACCATGTCCACTTAGAAGGCTATTTCAGAAGTTTCAACACCAACATTGTGGATAGATGAACATTCACCGCTAGAAGATTCCAGTGCATCCATTGAAAGTAAAGCAAGTAATTTATGATATCTTCAGAAATTCTTGACTTTATTTCATATTATTGCCTTCTGTTTTGTAAGAACATAAGAAACGCTGTATGGGATCAGACCACAGGTTCATCTGGCTCAGTATCCTGTATCTCACAGTGGCAGAGAGTGGATGCTAACAGAAGGAGTACTTTATGGAGGGCCAGTTTAAACTGATCAGTCTCCTGATTCTCTTCCCTACAGCTTCTCGCATTCAGATCCATAGGAGGTCATAATTTGCAGGCTGTACCTCTATTATATTTAATATCCACTCATTAATCTATTTTCCATTACTTTCTCCAATCCTTCCATGAATCTGCCCAAGTCCCTTTTGAATCTTGTTTCATATTATTGGCTATTCTTCTGCAATATCTAGAAAAATATTTCTGTTTTTGTAAAAAGTTGTTACAATATTTATGATTTCTCTGAAGACCATCTTTCAGTAGAAACATACTGCCTGTGTGGCCAAAGACTAAGGCCCTAATCCTAAAAATGTTTAAGTTGGATATCAATTAATGAAATAACTCTGAGGATCACCTCTAAATAACTTAGCTAAAGTGATAAAGGAAATCTATGATGAAAGAGAAGTAAATCCCTGTCTTTCACAGCCCACACTGGTTCTCTAACCACCGTGATATCTTTCCCATAAATGAGAAGCAAAAGACAAATCATATGTCCGGTATAAATGTGTAATGCTAAAGAAGACTAACAGAAATTAAAACAGGATAGGAAGCTGTAAATATCATAGAATGACATAGATATATTAGGTTTATTATTTATTAGATGGGTATATTAATTTATTCAAAAAGTAAAATTGCTGTCAGACTAAGTATTTTGATAGCCTGTGCAATTCTGAATCCCTTGCTGTTTCAGTAGATCCTGCTAGGACTATCATTCTCTGATGAAACTACATCTCTAGCAATTATTTGTAAGTGACTAAGGGGTTGATCCAAAGCCCGTAACAGAAAATTTGAAAGAATCTCATTGACTTAATAAAGTTTGGGTCAGACTCAGTATGAATAATCTTAATTTCCTCTTTGCACAGTGACTTAATTGTACTGGTTGACATAGTAGACTGAAGACCTAACAAAGAGAAAGTAAGCCTAATCAAAAGCCTACTCTTGTCATCAGATTAATGAGCTCTTCTTGTTAGTCATTCAATCCACAGCTGAACTCTCATATTAAGAATTAAAGGATTTGGCCAAGTTTGTCAGCCACTGTTGTGAGGCTGGCTGAAGGTACATGTTTGTCTGATCCCCAAAATTCTGATTGATTGCCTGACATGAAAACAGAGAAGTGTTTGGTAGTCATGAGGGTTGAATGAGCTGAATAAGAGAGAAGCAAATCAGCTTCTGCACCCCAGTGACTTGCACATGAAGTTGACAGTCAACCATCCCCTTCCTTTCATCCCCGCCACAAAAAAAATCAGATTACAATAGACTCTGTTATGACCCCCTCTTGCCTAAGAGGTGCATGAGAGATTTCTAGAGTGTTTTCAATTACGCCCCCCAGGGATGTCAGAAAGGTAGGAAGCAAAGTACTGTGGAATGTGGCAATACTACCTAATTCTGTACTTTGCTAGGGTTGTGAGGAAAAACAAAACTTAAAGTATACCGTGTAAAGAACTTCAAGGCCCCTCTAGACATTCAGGTAAAAATGTGATAGGATCTGATGTGAAATCCGTACAGTCATGTCACCTGCCATACCACATGTACATGACAGGAAGCATGATTGTGAGATCCAGCATGAGATCCTTACTGCCAGTGCAGGGGGAACCATGGATTGTGATCCTGGGCTCCCCCTATACCAGCAAGTAGCAAGCTTCCATGGCTGGGAGCTCAGTCAGCATCCCATGCGTGGCTGTGGCTGTGGCTATGAGTCCTGCAGGTGATTGGACTCATGGCCCCAGGAGCGTCCTGTAAACATTTGCAGGCATTGGGGATCCATATTTTGCATGTTCCAAGCCAAATTAGCCAAATCAAGTTGAAATTCGTGAGTCAGTCCAGAATCATAAGTGGCCCTACAACCGGCAAACATCCTCCACCCTCACCAGGGACTTCAGATATTTCCAAAGTCTTTTGGCAGGCATCCTACAGACTGGCTTTCTATATTACAAGGACAGCAACCTAATAGCCAGATCCAAGATCAGGGAGGTCAGGAGTAGGCCAATGGGCAGCCAAGGGCCAAGCACTTTTTAGAACAAGCAAGAGGGAGCCTGATTTTGTGGCTTAGGGAGGTGGATGCTGCCATAGTTTGGCAGCGGGGGGTGAGCCTTTGCTTCCAGTGTTGTTTGTCCATTTTGCATTATAGAGTACTTAGGAAAACTGCATAAACAGCATGAAGGACAGAGAGGAGGTTTCTTCACATGATGTTCCACATACCTGAGACTCCATCCCCATGAGGCTGGAATAGATGCCCAGACTGCACTATATTGAAAGACTTTGATTGGCAGTCCTTAATCCAATACTTTTTTATTCAAAAAGAGGCCTATTGGAAGATATAACCTAGAATCCCTAATACGATTCTGTTCCTATCTTTGGAGAGAGGGAAAGAAACTTTGATAGATTAATAGTAACAAACCTCAGAGTCTCTGTTTTTCCTTTCAGGAAAAAACAAAGCTCATACATACATAGTACTCTGTTTTCTCATATCTTGTCATTAGTCAGCCTGGCCTGATGAGACACTGGCTGATACTCCCCACTGTCAAAACTCTCCTGAAATCACCCCTTCTCTGTGCATCCAGAAGAGCACAGCAGATATACTGATAAGGATTGGTGATCAATTTGTTTTCAGATCACCTTGTATACTGAAGGCCTAACTTCCCTTCAGCCTACACTGATGCAACTCCATTGGGCAGGATCATGTGTCCTGTTATTAAAATGAATCCAGAATCATTCTGTGACTGCAGATAGACATTAGTCAAAAAATACATTTGATAGTTGAAAGGTGTGTTTAAGGCTCGCTGCCAGGAATATAGTAGGTGTGGGTTCAAATTTCCTGAGGTTGGGGTGTGGGACTAGAATGGGGTCTCCCATGTCCCAGACAACTCTTCTATTTGCAAGGCTATTTATATAGAAGCAGCATCCTTGTCACTGTCCACATACCTGGTCAGGTCAAAAGAAGTTCTACCAAAAATTCCATATGCCTTATATAGCCAAGAGGATGATGGAGGTATCTAACCTTGGGTCAGAATTCCCCATTGGAATAAATGGAAACCAATGTGTCCCCTGTGTAACTGAAGATCTGTTTTTGGAGGCATCTAAGAGCTGCATACCACTGCAAAACAAAATAAAATTTACCTCTGAGGGCATACAAGCTGAGTTCTGGAACCCCAGTGAACTCATGGAAGTAGTATCAGTCTGCACTGGTGAAGTAGAATGCTGCTGGTAGTGTGTGTCAGACCTTGCCACATGTTAGAATCTATTTGGTGAAATAGAGTTTAGCCTCATGTGTTTACTGATCAGAATCACAGAGTTCCTTGTTCTTGGTGAATGTCCACAACACTGGACTGCATTCAGGCTCTCAGGCTCCCTAATGTACTCTCTCTTCTCTTTGACCCAAGATCTTGCACTCCCGTTTGCATAACAGCAAAGCAACAAGAGGAGGGATGAAGCCCATCCACCTGGCACTGCCTCTCACTTGGCTGTCAGGGCACTCTGAGAAGCTGAAAGTACTGTGTTCTACTCCCTTCCCCCATAAGCTAAATATACTGTATTTACATGAATTCCAGATGACTTCAAATTTAAGATGAACCGACCCCCCAAATAATAACATACTATATAAAGAAAATATATAAATTGGTTACATTTTTCCATGTATAGATTCTAGTCATTGGAGGGTTGCCTTAAATTTGTATGCCCTTGTTCTCTACCACTACATCAGGAAAGACAGCAGCAGGGGAACAGGCAGAGAAGTGCAGGTGGGGGTGACAAGCAGCCTGATCCCTGCCCCTTGTCTCCCCTACCACCTGCCCCTCCCCACCCTGAACCTCCTGCCACCTGGTTCCCCCATGGTGCCTGAGCCCCTTGCCCCCTCCTCCCTGTGCCTGCCCCCTCCTTGTCTGAGGCCCCAGGTGCCTGCACCTCTGCTACATGCTTCCTGCAGCCTCTGTCCCTCCACCTGCCCCTTGCAGTCTTTGTCTCCTCTGTAGCCTTTGTTCCCCTTCAGCTTACCATCAGACCCAGGATATGAAGCTTACCAAAGCTTCAGCTCCTGTCTGGGTCACACATCAGTGGTTGCAGTGGCATAGCTCAAGCCCTGGGATGCTGTGGCTGGGGCTGGGGCCACCGTGTGCTCTGCATCCCAGGCCAAAATGGAGCTAGAGCTGTGATTGATGGTAAGTAGCAGAGACTGCCAGGGTCAGATGGGGATGAGGAAGAGATGGAGGGGGAAAGCAGGCAGGGGGAGGGGGGAGG